AACAAACAAAGAAGCCTATTAAGTTTGTATGATTGTTAAAAATTAAAAAATACATACTACAAAGAGAACTGTATAAAAAGTTCCTGAAATTATCAGGGAAACTTATCTCTGATCAAAGTTCACAGGAAATATTAATCTGCTCAAAATTCATCCAAATTGCTCGTTTTACACAAACTTCCTGCACTTATTGTGTTCACTGTTTGGGTTCAATGCAGTTTATAAGTTGTTCTCTACTCTTATTGTTATGCATTGAATACAATCAATTAAATATCTATAAAACATCAGTCAGGGGTCGTCAGTTTACTCAAAGATAGAAAAAGGGTCCATTTAAAAAAAAAAAAGGTTGGGAGTTTACATGGTATTTAGCACAGGACTGTTGTACTGTAAGATAGTGGTAGACCAATTAATCAACACGATTATGTAGCATTTTGAAGTAATCGTCATTGGTCAATGTCTGTGATTACTTTGCAGATAAACAAAAATGTCTTAAAACGATGTTGCCTCTTGTTAGTTTTGGGGAGGTGGTGGAAAAAGTTGGTTCCAAACCCTGTACTGTAACTTTAATGCATCCTGCTGTAAACATATACATATATTCTTGTAGAATAGAATTATACATGTCACATCACCGCCTCTGTTTCTCTTCCAGTGGTTCCTGGCTAACCTGTCCTATCAGGAAGCCCTGTCCGACACGCAGGTTGCCATTGTCAACATTCTGTCGTCCACCTCAGGTGACTCTCCCACTCTATAACAACAGTATGTACAATGTAAAGAGGAGACTATTGTACCTAAAAGGGAAATGTGTCTTGGTCAGGTAGTGTTAGCCATCATATTTAGTTTACCCACTGCTTTGACTCGTCTGATTCACCTCTCTTCTTTCTCTCCTCCCTCTTCAGGCCTGTTCACGCTCATCTTAGCAGCCATATTTCCCAGCAACAGCAGCGACCGTTTCACCTTGTCCAAACTGTTAGCTGTGGCTCTGAGGTAACGGCTCAATTAAAGTGTTGACAGGCATGTTGGGAGGTTTCAGCACTCAGCACATATTTACTTTAGTACACCGATCAGCCTTAACATTAT